TTTACTGAGGCTTTTGGTGGTCAAATCTCCGGACGACCACGGTGGTTTGCATTTTTCTAAACCATTACTAGAATATTTGGTATCTATATTTATATATTTCTTATTATTCATATATAGAGAGTTCGAATGGAAGAACCCAGTTTGTGTGTATGAAGGGAGAGTGAGGGGATTTTCGAAATTCATATATATACAAATTTGTATACTGTTGAAGTTTTGATTTGAATTAATGTAAGGAATAGACTAATTGTCATGATGAAGTTTTCGTTTGGGGTTGATTTCTGTAATGTTTTAGTTGGATGAATTTGGCTGAGATTTGAATATATTTTTCTGTTTATGATAGAATTATTTGGAAATATGCCAATGTACAATTTATGCTTAAATTTGGTGAGAAATATATATGCTTAACTTTTGAAAGTAAGAAAGGATATGGCTATAAAATTTCAAGTTGGCTAGACCTTGTTTCTTTGATGCCTTTTACACAATGAGGGCCGTTAGCTGAGGTGTTACGGCCTAGATCAACCACTCTAAAAGGCTGAATTCAGCTTCTCCATATAACTCAATCAGCCCCTTGGCAACTACTGTTTCATCCCCATCCGGGGTTCTGCAACGAACATTGTTTTCACATTCTGATGGCAGTGTTTGCAATAGTCCAACTCTTGCAGCTCCACTAGGATTATCTGAAGTTGTTGCATTCCCGTGGCTAAAAATGATCTTTGTGGAACAATATCGGTCGATGGCCCTTTTGGTAGTTTTTCTATGGAAAGGTACTTCACAGCAAGCTCTGTTGTCATTTTTCTATGGAAAAATTATTAGTTTTTGTGGATGTTCAGATGCTCTGCTTATTCTAAGCTTAGCTATATGGAATTCCCCTTTGTCCCTTAACTTCCCTGACATGTTCTTTCCTGTTGTGCCTCATCTTCTCTAGTTATTCTATCGGAGACAAGTCAATATTAAAAGATGCTGGGGTTCATGACATGAAGGACATTGAAGCTTTGGCTTCACCTCCAGAGGTTAAAGATAGTATTCAGACGCAGAAATACAAGGGAGATGTTAGTTACTTCATTTGCACGAGGCCTGGGAGAGGTCCGGTATTGCTAACTGATGAAGCTCAAGCACTTCTCAATGCTGAAACTGGATTGCCAAAGTAAAGAAGAGCAAGTTTTATTGTTATGATTATTTCTTTAAGGCCAGCTTAAATTGTATTTAATTTTGCATTATTGTCGTTAAGAATATACTGTTGGACATGATTCAGTATCCTTAAAAAATCATATTCCATTTGCTTAGAGCATGTTTAGAGCTAAGCAATTTCTTGTGTTTGGATCTCAGTGAGAGTAATTTTATTAACGTTTTTAGTTTAAAAAAAAAATAAAAATCCACCTGGACCCGACCCGACCTGATTCGGTTTGGGTCGGTTTAGGTTAGAAGCCGGGTCTGGTCGGGTTGTGAAAGAGTTCAAAACCGAGCATGTCGGGTCAGGTCGGGTCAGTTTTGGGCCAAACCCGGCCCGACCCGACCCGACCCAATGCCCACCCCTATAAGTGGACACTTATAAAAGAAAATTTAATTATGCCTGCTTATAAATTCGAAACGGAACTGTTGTGACACTAGGCAAATGTTGACTGAGGTTGGTCTGGGCTCTGCCATTGTAATGTACAAGTATTGTGAAGGGGGGGGTATAGGTCATATATGCAGTGTTGCCTGGCTCTTCGAAATTTA